ACCCGCGCCAGGCGCCCCCTCGCGGCCGGGCTCGCCGGCGCCTCCTGGACGTGGCCGTGTGCACCGACCGGGCCTTCGTCGTGTACGTGGTCACCAAGTTCCTCATGGCCCTGGGGCTCTTCGTACCCGCCATCCTGCTGGTGAACTACGCCAAGGACGCGGGCGTGCCCGACACCGACGCCGCCTTCCTGCTGTCCATCGTGGGCTTCGTCGACATAGTGGCGCGGCCGGCGTGCGGGGCCCTGGCGGGCCTGCCGCGCCTGCGACCGCACGTGCCCTACCTCTTCAGCCTGGCCCTGCTGGCCAACGGGCTCACGGACCTGTGCAGCGCACGCGCGCGCTCCTATGGCGCCCTGGTCGCCTTCTGCGTGGCGTTCGGCCTCTCCTACGGCATGGTGGGCGCGCTGCAGTTCGAGGTGCTCATGGCAGCGGTGGGCGCGCCCCGCTTCCCCAGTGCGCTGGGCTTGGTGCTGCTCGTGGAGGCTGTGGCCGTGCTCATCGGACCGCCCTCTGCCGGTGCGCCCCGGAGGAGCAGGGGGTGGCGAGGCTCAGGGTCCTCAGTGCCAGATGAAACTTCCAGGGATGCCGGGAAGGGACCGAGGCAGAGACGGCTTGGTGGGTGGACATGGCCGGTTGTCTTCCTCCCTCAGCCTGGGACCCCCAGGCCTGGGCGAGAGCCCAAAGCCAAGGAAAATGCAGGGAGAAACCAACACTGATAGCAACCACTCAGCCATCTCAGGCAGGCGCGCAGAGGCTTTGTGAGGTGCAACTGCTTAGTCCCCATTTGCAGATGGGGAAACCGAGGCACCGCGGCTCAGCACAACTTGTGCTCTCAAGGCTGAAATGTCCTAGTTCGAAATGCCAGTAGCCCACCCCCTGAAATAGTATATCGGATAGATTGGTCCTCCAACCGTAAGGGAATCAGACAGGATCAGTGTTGGGGCAGCTGAGTGGGCAGCTGGGGAGAAGGTGCAGGTTGCCTGCTGGGCACTCGCCATTCATAGTCCAACTTGGAGAATCGCCATGGTGAGGGCAGCCGGTGAGGTGTCCTGCCCGAGCCCCCCAGGGGAGGGCACCACATGAACAGGTGTGGGGCTTTCCTGTACCGGTGAGACGGGAGCTACAATGAGAAGCGGAAGTAGAGGAGCCTGGGTTTTGCTGCCCTTGAGCGAGAGAGGGATATGTCGGGCTGTGGATGGAACAGTGAGACCCAGTGAGAACAGCCAAGCCCTGGAAACACCGCCCAGAGCTCATCTGCCTTCTGTGTAGCCTGGGTGGATCCAATGGGCAGAGAAAGCAATGTGGGCTGAGAAGGTGGTGGACCCTAGAGGGCTGAAGGATGGAGCGACAGGGACAGATTGGGCTGGCTGGGCAGGGACCAGGATGTCTGAGCGCTGAGCTTGGGTGGGGCAGTTGGCCCTGGGGACATCAGGAACTTGCCAAAGATCCAGGCCTGGTGTGGTCACCCACAAGAATGCCCCAGAGGGAGGAGCCCATAGAGGAACCACATTTTAGGGGAAAATGTTTGGACTTAAAAATTTTTCCAGCTGGGCATGGTGGTGCACGCCTATAATCCCAGCACTCAGGAGGCTGAGGCAGGAGGAAGACCTTGAGTTCCAGGCTAGCCTGACTACAAGGCCAGTCTGAACTACATAGTAGTTTTTTGAGACCCTGACTCAAAAAAAAAAAAAAAAAAAAAAAAGATTTTCAGAGGCCATAGCTCAGCGGTGGGGTCCAGTCAGCATGCTAGAGACCCAGGGTTCAATCCCTAACATGAGCACATGCATACACACGCACACACACACACCCATGCATACACAAGATTAAAAGGTAACATCCGTGCAGAAGGAAACAGGGCCTGTTTAGGGGAGCATTATTGAGTTTAGGGTGCTTGTGGGCCCCTGGGAGTGACAGGAGGCTGGAGGAGACTGAGCCAAGTTCCTGGGGACCAGAAGACTATGGGAAGGGCAAGAGCCAGAAGCCCCAGGAGGCCAGCTCAGGGCCCTTCCCACCGTCACCGAACCGCCGAAGCTGGGCGCGTCACAGGGTGCTGTGGGCTTCAGTCAGGGGGAAGGGCTGCCCTGTAACTGTAAAGTGCTGTCTCATCAGAAGCCCCATATTGCTTAGAAAATTTAGGCTCAGGGAGGGAAAGTGACTTTAAAATTCACACATGGCAGAACTCACTGGGGGTTTTGCCCCCATGAAATAGAAATAAAGACGAAAGGGCTGGGGATTTAGCTCAGCGGCAAAAGCGCCTGCCTGGCAAGCGCAAGGTCGTGAGTTCGGTTCCTGGTACCGGAGAAAAACCAAAAAAA